AGAGTTCACAGACAGCCTCCATAGCCGTGACAGGACAGGACGAGGATTCACAGACGGCCTCCATAGCTGTGACAGGACAGGCAGAGAGTTCACAGACAGCCTCCATAGCCGTGAAAGGGCAGGACGAGGATTCACAGACGGCCTCCATAGCCGTGACAGGACAGGATGAGGATTCACAGACGGCCTCCATAGCCACCACCTCTGGAGAAGCTGCAGCCGGCGCCATCACCTCTGGAGAAACAGCAGCGAACTCCACTACCTTGGGAGGTTCTGCAGCATCAGCTGCCACCTCCGGAAACATCGTAGTAGGCGCCGCTGTTTCAAGAGTCTCAGTGGTGGTGTATGCAGCCCAAACACTCCATAAAGCGATCCCCATTATGGAAAGCGCTACAGACAGGGGAATCAGATCAGGAACAGGAGGGCTAGAGTGAATGGATTCGGGGATACCAGCTGCGACTGCTGACACCAGCGTTGGATCCTCCACGCTGGATGCCAGTCTGGGATACAGAAGACCTGACCTCAAAGATCTGAGTGCAACAAATGGGAAGTGACAAGATTCTAGACGACCAGCTGTAATGTGACGAGACTCTGGAAGATCAGCGGTGATGTGACGGGACTCTGGACGAACAGCTGAGATGTGACGTGACTAAGCTGTGTGTGTGTAATTGGTAGCAGGTGAGCTTGTGATTAGTGCAATGGAGCATGGGAAATGTAGTCCAGGGTGATGTGTAACAGTCTGTGTGGTGTGAGAGTCAATATAATGGGAGGGCGACATCTGGTGGCAAGCAGATGGAAATTCATGGACAGGATTCATGACAGTGTGTGTGTGTGTGGGTGTGGGTGTGTGCACCTACTTAACCTTATTTTGGGGACAAACGTGTACCCAGAAGTGAGTTAAAATTTAAATAAAGAAAAAAAAAATCTAAAAAAAATAGAAAGAAATACCCAAGGAAAAGAAAAATAAAAAAATTTATGGATATTGACAGAAGTGAAATGTAGAGTAATTCATGGAGAAAAAATATATAGGCCTCTATATATATATATATATATATATATATATATATATATTGGTGAGATGCTGAAGTCTATGTTACGATATGAGGCATTTACTCAGGAACTGCTCTGAACGATTCACTGAAAGACATTTACTCAAATTAATATGCTAATAAATTAATTGGCTTGAGATTTTTGTTAACAAGGTCATTTTCTGTAAAACATTTTCATTTGGGAATGAAGATGACGCATTTTCTAATCTACAACATAAACAACTTAAAAATTGGAAATTGGGGAAAAACTCTGCTTGTATTTCTGGGAACCTTGTGTCACTATTTTGGCTGACCCAACAAAAACAAATAAGCATATTTTTAGAATATTTCTGTGTGCATTTAAAACTATCCGAACGTGAGTAGGATAAATAAAATGAAAATAGATGAGTACATTTTGATGACAAACTTTGATATGACAAGGCCTTGTTTGAAAGTTTTAAAGGGGTCATCAACTGCCTCTGTTTTTTTTATTTTGAACTGTTTTCTGAGGTCCACTAATAATGTTAACAAAAATTTTACATAAAAAAACATCATAATTTGGAAGTAATAGGCTATTTTCTGTACTGTTTTTGACCCCCCTCATCAGAACACTCTGTTTGAATAGATGTGGAGGATTGTAGATTTAGAAGTAAACGCCCACTGCTATGACTGGCTAATAGTTGTGTATGTTTGACAGTCTGCGTCCTTCACAGATGCACACTGCTGTGATTTAGGTTAAAAATGCAGAGCAGTTTCCCAAAATGTTTCGCTCTTAAACCTGCTTGACAGGGTGTCTATAATTATTAAAATCACAAGATTAATCAGTGCGAAACACAAACCTGAGTATGTTGAGTTGACAGTTTGGACTTTTCAGTCCAGCAGCAAGCAGTTTCCCTCCCGAATCCTGCAGATGATTGTTACTCAGGTCCAGCTCTCTCAGGGGGGAGTTAGATGATTGTAGAGCTGAAGCCACAATTTCACACTGCTGACCAGTGAGATTACAGCCTGTCAATCTGAAAACAGCAAGGACTCTGGTTAAAAGGCATGCTGGTGTGCTGATGTCCCCACCAGACTGAAAGACTTCCTTAGTCCAGTGCTTCTCAAACCTGTCCTGGGGACCCCCGTCATTGCACATTTTGGATGCCTCCCTCATCAGTCACACCACAATTCAATTCAGGTCTTGGAGTCTCTACTAATGAGCTGATGAGTTAAATCAGATGTGTTGGATGAGGGAGACATACAAAATGTGCAGTGCTGGGGTACTCAGGACAGGTTTGAGAAGCACTGCCTTAGTTAACAAACGTTACCATATAAGATCATGTTAGTTTAACATTCACTCTCTGATCTGTTCCAAAAAAAAAGGTCCAAAAATTAAAACAAGTTCATGATGTAATTAAAAGTATACTATGAACATCATATCTGTAAATTTGTAAATTTAAAAACACTGGGATTAACTGAGGGTATTTGGTCAGGGTTTGAGCTAAACTCAGCAGGACACTGGCCCTCCAGGACTGGAGTTGATAATATGATGAGTTACTTTATTACATAAACCAATTATATTGACGAAAATCACCTAAACAACTGCAGAATCAGACTACATTTACTGGTTAAGTTGACAAAGCATGTAGCTATTTTTTTTACATTCTACAAATCTTTAAAAAAAAAAAAAAAACTAATAGCATTGATTGCTTGGGAATGAAAACATCACTCACTGCAGAGATTAACATATTAATGCTTGTGAACACAAACCCCAATAAAACACATCAAACTTCCATCACAACTTATGTTAAATATAATTGTGTTCAGCTTTTCACACTTACAAAGCTTTTCTGCAGTTCCTCACAGCAGGTAACAGTCTCCATCGACCCTCTCTAGTGTTGATATTGTACTGTTTAAGATCAAACTCTTCCAGCACCTCCTCTGACATCAGGATTATGTTTGCCAAAGTTGAACATTGTGCAAGAGAAAGCTTTTTTCTTTTTGTTTTAGAGTTTAAAAATGCCTGCATTTCTTTAACAACAGAATTATCTTTCATCTCAATCAAGCAGTGTGACAGATTCATCCATCTTTCAGGACTGACATCGTTTTTTTGACCTCGTTTGAGGTTTTGGATTATGTTCTTGATGCTCTCTGGGTTGTTCTCTGTGTGTATCAGTGCATCCTGTAAGAGTCTCTGATTGGACTCCAGTGAGATGCCATGAAGAAATCGAAGGAAAAGATCCAGGTGTCCATTATTACTGGCCAATGCTTTATTCATTGTTCCCTTCAGAAGCACATCCAGAGTAGCATTCTCACACTTTCCTGACAGGAACATTTTCAGAATCTCACTGTTCTTGTGTAAATAGCAGTAAAACACATACAGTGCTGCAAAAAACTCCTGAAAGCTTAGATGTACAAAACTGTAAACCTTCCTGTGATAAATCACAGATTCCTCCCTAAAGATCTCAGTGCAAATCCCAGAATACACTGAGGCGTCAGTGACGTCTATGGCGCTCTCTCTCAGGTCCTCCTCATAAAACATCACATTGCCCTTCATCAGCTGATTGAAAGCCAGTTCAGCAAGTTTCACAATCACTTCTCTGCTGGACTGCAGGAGTTTCTCTGGAGCTCTCTCTTCATACTTCTGGTTCCTCATATTTGTTTGAATGAGCAGGAAGTAGATGTACATTTCAGTCAGAGTTTGAGGGATTTCTGCACTGAGATCTTGTTTCAGGAGGTTTTGAAGCACAGTGGATGAGATCCAGCAGAAGACGGGTATGTGGCACATGATGTGGAGGCTTCTTGCTCTTCTGATGTGTGAGATGATTCTGCTGGCTTGATGCTCGTCACTGATTCTCTTCCTGAAATATTCCTCCTTCTGAGGGTCATTGAATCCCTGAATCTCTGTCACACGGTTGATGTAGTTGGAGGGGATCTGATTGGCTGCTGCTGGTCTGGTGGTGATCCAGATGAGAGCAGAGGGAAGCAGATCTCCTCTCATGAGGTTTGACATCAACAGACCCACTGATGAAATCTGAGTCACATCAGAAACTTTCTGACTTTCTGAAAACATCAGTGTAATTCTGCTTTCATCCAGACCATCAAAGATGAACACAGCTTTACATTTATCATAAATCTTTGAGTCCAGATCTTGAAGTTCAGGATCAAAGTCAAGCAGAAGTCTGTGAAGACTGTACTGATGATCTTTAATCAAGTTCAGCTCTCGAAATGTAAGCACAAACATGAAATCTACATCCTGATTGGCTTTTCCCTCGGCCCAGTCCAGAATGAACTTCTGCACAGAGACGGTTTTTCCAATTCCAGCGATGCCTTTAGTAAGAACCGTCTTTATTTTGTCTTTCTTCTCTCTTCTGTTCTCCTCATATCCTGGTTCAGGTAAAGGATTAAAGATGTCATTGCAGTTGATTGGAGTATCTTGGAGTGTCCTGTAACTTTTCTCCATCTGCAGCACCTCATGTTCTTCATTCACTCCTTCACTCTCTCCCTCTATGATGTACAGCTGTGTGTAAATCCTGTTCAGGAGAGTTTGATTCTCTTGTAGTTTGATTCCCTCAAATAAGCTCTCATACTTGCTCTTCATGCTGGTTTTGTGCTGGTCTTTGACTCTCTGCAGATAATCATGCACTGGTTGGTGAGAAAGCTGCAGAGCTGCTTCTGTGTCATGATGACTGAAGTGGTTCTGACTGTAGGAGGATGTGCTGGACGGACAGGACACATATCTGATCTGGTCAGCTCTCCCACCACTGAAAAGATATTAAGAATAACAGAGAGAGATAAAAACAAACAGAAAGAGTTTGATCAAAACAGAGAAAATATTTAAATGTCTCTAATATGAAATAATATTATTTGAAATCATACCACAACCACATTTAGAAAGATTTGTTTGATATATGTGATCCTGCCTGTGAAAACCCAGCTAAAGCCATTTTTTTGTGATTCACTGTTTTCTACATAAAATCATCCTTCATAAAGACGTAGAACATTCTGTGAAAATATAATCTTTATATTTTTAATATTGACTGAGTAAGGCCATGTCAAAGACTGAAATCATAGTGAAATGAATGGTTGAAATCAAACTTTGATGCTTGTTATCTCATAATTAGATTTTGAGACTTTAGCCTGGATTTCACAAACAGGGTCACATATAGGCTCATTTTAAATATAATCGATCTATTGTGGCCAACAGATCCTTCTTATTACCATCAATATTACTCTGATGTAGAAATCCCACTGTGTCCCTGAATTTTTGTGTAATTAGACAAAAAGGGAATAGACATAGAGAAGCACATGAGAGCACTATTTAACAAAGCAGCTTCATTTAACAAAGAGCCTATTGACTTTTTCTTTCCTTATATTATGAGTTTCATTTTAGTGTTATATTTGCTGTTAAAAAAGAGAACACAATTTATGTTAGTTTTTTTTCTGTCTATAGAACTTTATTGCAAAAATAAAAAAGAACATTTCTCTTTTGTTATTTCGGTGTATATTATTTGTTCTTGTGTTGAATGTCTCTCTCTACATGAATATACTCACACAGGATCAAAGAGCACTGATTCATCACTGAGATCAGGGGGCTGTAGTGGAGAAGCTGCTCTCTTTCTCTTCCTGCTGATGATACTGAGAAAAACATAATAGAAAAAAATTAGGAATCAATTTCACGACTACAGAAAGTGCATCCAGAAAGCGAGTGTTTACTTTATTTTACAAAAACACAACGTTTTGTTAATATAATGAATGTACACAAAAAAAGTAGACCCTTTACAGTTTCAAATGATTAGTCTTATCTGTATAAGCAAACATGAGGGCAGATTTTAGGTTGTTTCCATAGTTATCAGGAAAAAATCCCACCGATCGCGCTGGCGCCTCTGTGCGCGAACAGCTTCCATGTGTCTAATAGCACACATTCATCTAAGTTAAACGTTAGCGTGAGCAGCAGTGTAAAGCTGCTACAATTTACATGTTTTAATTTTCAAATGATAATTTGAATGCCTTAATTGAGCATCAAAAAGCTTTTTGTGACTTTTAGCTTGTATTGTGACGTTCAGAGTTGATCTGTTTATCTGAATAATCTGTTTGTCGTTTGTCACCATTGTTGAGGTTAAATTAGGGTGACCATACATCCTCTTTTCCCAGGACATGTCCTCTTTTTGGACCTAAAAAGAAATGCGACTGGCCGGGATTTCTAAATTGCACAAAATGTCCGAGATTCATCTTTTGCCTTCTACAGTTGTCATTCATTGTCTGAGTTTACTTAATCCCGCTCCCGCAAACATTGTAATATTGAATATATCATTTTCATGCATCAGGGAGTCGCTATCAATATGCAGAGTATTTAAATTGCTTTGGATGCAGCTTGTGTTGGATATAGGGTTGCCAAATCCGCATTTTGTTCCACAAAATTGGGTTGATTTTCTCCCGTGGGTTAAAGGTTTGAAATATTGCATAAATTACATTTGACTGAAATGCTTGTATTGAAACATTTTGCATTCTACCTATGATAAAACTGGTAGATATATGGTCACTTTAAATAAATCTAAATAGCATACACACTAGGGTGGCCATATGCGCCGTTCATACGGGACACGTCCCAGCCAGAATTTTAATATTGCCTAAAATATCCAGGTGCAGGTCGATCGTTGTGTGACATTCATGAGAGCTATAGAGAGCAGAGCAGATTGCTCCTTATGCTTCCGAATCGCTCTCGCACCTACTTTGGTGTCTTTTTTGATCGGTGCGCAGCAACACTTCAAGTCAAACGAACGAACGAACAAGCATGTGCGCATATTTGCATTGCTTTGATCGTTCCCTGTAGATCTCACCTTCTCACGCGCATCCCCACGATTGGTCGATTATGTTCAATACCTGCATGTTATTGGTCAAACTGCTTTGGATGTTTTAGGCAATATTAATATCCTGGCAAGGACGTGTCCCGTATGAATGGCGCATAGGGTCACCCTAATACACACAGATTAAACTCTGGATATGATTAGTAAATCAGGCCACTACACGATGATTGAATCATCATCAATAAGTAACCAACTTCATTTGATCAGATTTTCTCTAGCAATTTTTGATATAATAAATGTGATTTATAAACACACAGTTTTAGCAACCAGAGGAAATCTAATTTTAAAAAGTCAAGGGTGAAGAGCCCAACTAAATCAAACACTTATTTCCCCAATGCTGACTTAATGCATATTGCCATTTTATACATCTATTTTTTTAAGTGCAGATATCATGATATATTATCAGACTATAATCGCCAAGTCAAAATTTCCCATTATGACATCCATAAACAAGTGCTGAAAACATAGTTGTCCCTCCCTGCACTGTATTTTGACAGTGTATATAGACCCCAATTTTACAATATTTTACACAGTAGGGTTTGATCTATATTATCAGCTTTGCTGGCCTAGAGAAGCAAAATGTGTAGCAATAGGATGGGAAAGTTGTAACAAATGGGAAAATCCGGACATACAGAAGTGCAGATTTGGAACCTTGCTGGAACCTATGATAATCAATGGAGATACGCTACGAAGATGTCCATGCTTGTCTACCTTTCAAGTTAATCTATGCCTGAAACCAATCAGGATCATGAATCCTGAAGAAGTGATATAAATTGCTGATTGCTGCTGTATGTCATGTGTGAGCAAAGTGGCCTATAAACTCCTTGCTGAGTGTTGAAACTGACTTCTGCTATTAAAACTGAAAATAACATTTTCTTCTGTGATTCTGGATGCAGTTCCCCTGTGTTTTCTGACAAAATAAAAGATTTATGGTTTAACATTTGAAGGCAAAGAAATGTACAGCCATAAATATTAGTATTGTATTTTTTGCAAATTATGTTTATTATTATTAAATGCTATTTTTTTTAGTACAATAAGGAGTGGTTCATGTTGTTGTTTTCCCCCCTTACCTGATCACTTGCCTGATTGTTCTTTCTCCTTTAATCGAAGTAAGATTCTTAGCATAGTTTTCATTTCAGAGATCATGCAGGTGTGTATGTTTAAATAGTTAAATGACTCTAATGAGGAATCGTTATTATTATTAAAAAATTCGGTCCCACTTTATATTAGGTGGCCTTAACTACTATGTACATTTAAATTAATCATTTGATACAATGCACTTATTGTGCACATACATGTTTTTACATTGTACTTATATCTTTTTTAAATGTAAATTATAGAATGTTTCTATATGTAGTTACATATGTAATTAATTTCTGTAATTACATTTATAATTACACTGTTGACCCATCCCTTACACCTTAACCCACCCTTAAACCTACCCATACCACCAAACCTGTCCCTGACCTTACCTGTATCCCACCTCAATAACAGCAAAAGTGTTTTGCAATACAATATGACCACAATAAGTACATTGTACTTATTTTTTGATGTAAGTACATAGTAGTTAAGGCCACCTAATATAAAGTGTGACCAAAAATTCAATAAAAAGAACCACAGTGAGAGAATCATCATGTAAATAAAATATACATTCAACTTCATGATACTCACACAGGGTCAAAAGTCACAGCAGGTCCATCACTGAGATGAGGGGGCTGAATCATGGAGTTGTTACTCTTCATAGACACACAGCTGAATCCTGAAGATGCTGCTCTCTGAGCGTCAACATCATTGAGATAAGGGGGCAGAATCATGGAGTTGTTACTCTTCATAGACACACAGCTGAATCCTGAAGATGCTGCTCTCTGAGCGTCAACATCACTGAGATAAGGGGGCAGAATCATGGAGTTGTTACTCCTCATAGACACACAGCTGAATCCTGGAGATGCTGCTCTCTGAGTGTAAACAGGAGCCCTCCTGTTTACACTCATTTTATAAGCAGGTTTCTCCTCCTCTCTCCGAATGCACACACACTTTATAGGCTGTTCTGCTTCTCTTTTTTTCCTAGATGAGAGACTTGATTTCAGGCCTGTATGTGGAAACAGAAAATACACTGCATTTTTACACAATTGAGTTTCAGTACAGGCTTGTGCTCAGAAGTGAGGAGGCACAGTGACTAAAGTGCCTGGATGCCCCGTAGTCATGGTTTTCAGTAATTTTAGAGCAGTTAAGGGCTGTTGTTATGCCCAAAGCACAAAACACAGATGCAGTAACACACTGTTGGCACAGTAATATAGCGATAATGCTAATAATGATCCAACAGAATTACTAAGAGCGGAAATCCTCATCACATCATTTCTTTAAAAATCAGATTTTGAAGACTGCGTCTCACAAGGAATAATTATAACGCCAACCTCATACGTCATCAGCCCGGAGCTGCTTCTGTGTACAACAGTGAGCGCAAGCTAGATTAAAGTGATTATTATGTTTTAAATATGGTTATTTTTCTTACAAAAGCTCATTGATTCGCTACAGGAGGACTTTGTTCACCCTCGGAGCTGTGTGAGACACTTTTTATTAAGGAAGGGCTTTTTATTTAACTTCTTTTGGACTGATGCACTGCAACACCCGCTGACTGTCATTAAACAGCTTGAAAGATCAAAGACTATTTTTTATATAATTCCAACTGGATTCGTCTGAAAGAAGAAAGCCATATACACCTAGGATGACTTGAGGGCGAGTAATTTATGGGCTAATTTTCATTTTTGGGAGAACTAACCGGTTAAGGCTCATATATTGGATAATAACATAGGTTTACAACCAAGTCAGTGGGCAGTAGTGGCACAAATTATTTTTCACGATAACAGGCTCTTAAACATGAGAATCAGATTAAATGTTGCAATGAATGATCCACATTACAAACTGGAAATAGAGATTATATAGTTTCTTTATATTTATGAATTTAATAAACTCAGTTATAATTATCCTAAAATCATGTGTCTAAAATTATTATTATTATTTTTCTTATTCACACTGATAGAAATAAATTTTTTCCAATACGTTTAAACTGATTTTTACATTTTATGGGCATTTTTACCTTTATAAAGCCATTTTTTCTAAAAGTGTCCATTATCTTTTGAGTCAAATTCTTACATTTAATCAGTGAATTAGAATAATAAGACATTTGGGCTGTTACCAGGCAAATGAAATCAACAAAATTCATAATTCAAAATTCGGCTGCATCTGAAGTGGCTTTTAGTTGCATTTACACACTCTGAAACGCGTAGATTTTTACAAAGCTCATCGTTCTGAAAAGTGAGGTGTGCTCTGATTGGCCAGCTATCCAGTGCACTGTGATTGGCCGAATACCTCAAGAGTGTGACAGAAATGTTACGCCCCTTACCATACTGTGATGCCGTGTCCCGGGGTGACGAGACAAAACCAATAGAACTATGAAGGTAAAATAATGGCTAAAAGATTTACTTATGCAGGGTAAGAGTTGTGGAAGTGTACATAAGTCTGTAAGCGTCAATTTAATTTGCATGCGCACGAGAAGCTTTGTAAAGGTGTAAATCGCGTTTCAAGTGCAAGAAAAAATTATTGTGCAGCATTGTAGTTACTCGTACGTGTAATTCATGTATTGTGAAACTGCAGTTTCATACTAACGCAAAATAAATAAATAAATATAATCTTTACGCTTATGACTTCCATTTTTCCATGCTTACACTTTTGGCACGTTGTTTTTGCTAAAAAACGGTCAAAAGTACAGCAAGCCTGTGAACAGTGATTTGCAAGTGAAAACAGCAGTTTAAAGAACTGCAAAACCAATCTGTATGTGTAAAAAAACTAACTGTTGCAAATGTCTAAATTACTTGTTGAGCATGTGAGGCAAAAAGTTCCAGAAATAAACCGATAAGTACAGCTCTGTCTTTCTTTTCTCTGCTCTTACAATTTTGGCACGATTCTCTCACTAACTGACTTTTTAAAGCGTGAGGGGGAGGGCAGGGCCACCATCTTCTTGTAGCCAATCAAATGAGGTTCTCGCTGACTCTCCATTTACTCTTATCTGATTGGTTCAATAAACACATATGTTAAAACATTAATCTTCATTTAGTTCAGGATCGTTCTCACTGCCAAAATGGTACAATTAATACCTCATTTGATTGACTACAAGAAGGTGTTGGATAGGTTTACAGGTTTCATAGAAAGAGAATGATGTGCGCCAAATGAGTCGCTGTATAAACCGAATACTTCAATGGTTGCGGTGTGCTCAACATGAGAACCAACGCAAATGCAATGACATGTGAAATAAACGTCATCATGTATTAAAGAAGAGTGGCTTGATTGAGTGTTGGAAATAGTGGAGGATGAGCACAGAATGGTAACAAAACTCAGAGACATTTAGCTACAGTCACACACAGGTGTATTGTGCAAACTACTTCATAGGGATGTTTAGACCGCTATAGAAGAATTAATATGTTCTCGTTATATTTTTTAAATATATTTAACTTACAGATCTCAGCTTAAGTTTTGCTTCAGTTTGTTTTCTATTCTATTCTATCAGTTTATATAGCTTGTTTTGATATTATATTAGGCCTATTTTATGTTAGGCCTATATTATAAACCTAATAAATAATTGACCTTGTTTTTTAATGGAGTCTCTTGCTCATCAAGGCTGTATTTATTTCAAAAATAGAGAAAAAAAGTGATATTGTGAAATATTATTGAAATTTCTAATATTGGTTTCCTATTTTAATACCTATACTTTAAAATATAATTTATTTCTGTGAAGCAAAGCTGTATTTTCAGCATCTTTACTCCAGTCTTCAGTGTCCCATGATCCTTCAGAAATCACTCTGATATGCTGAACTATTATCAGTGTTGCTGATCTAATATGCTGTTTTACAACAGTGAAACTGTTGTCCTGCTTAATATTTTTTTGGACCCTGTGTAACTTTTTTCTTTGATTCTTTGATTAATAAAAAGTTAAAAAGACCAGCATTTATTCAAAATATAAATCTTTTCTAACAATATAAAAGTCTTTACTATTAGTTTTATCCATTTAACACTTACTTGATGAATAAAGTTTCTTTAACTTTCTAAAAATATCTTTAAAAAAGAAAAAGAAATCTGACCCCAAACTTTTGAATAGTGTATATTGTAACACAAAATCTCTATTTTGAATAAACACTGTTCTTTTTAACTTTAATTTTTTTTAAAATATCACAGGTCCCAAAAATATTAAGCAGTACAACTGTTTCCAACATTGATTAAAAATCTGCACATTAGAATAATTTCTGAAGGATCATGTGACACTGAAGACTGGAGTAATGATGCTGAAAATTCAGCTTTGATCACAGGAATTAATTATATTTTAAAGAATATTAAAATAGAAAACGTTTGCTTTAAATTGTAATAATATTTCACAATATTATTTTGTGAAATAATATTCAGTATTATTTTTATCAAATAGATAGGCTACAGTCTTGATGAGCATAAGACACTTCTTTAAAAAAACTTTACTGATCCCAAACTTTTGAACGGCAGTGTATTATACTGTAAAAACCTGTTTTCTCAGGTAACCTAAAATGTACATCATTTAGTTACATCAAGGGTCAAATCAAATATAAATAGCACATTAAAGTTAAAAGTTACCCACTTTTTTGTGTGCACGCTGTACAGGTCTGGTATAAAGAATGTTTTTGCTCAGGTGCCCGAAATGTTCGCCCAATAGAGAAAAGTTTTGCTCAGCAAGAAAAAACATTGGCTGTGAGTCAGCATTATTTGTCAGAACACCGGCATTATAGGCTACTCTCCCAGGAAACAGTCCTCGTCTTCCATAAAATGCATTGCACACATCTGAATATTTGGTTTGAAGTGTTCTGGAACAGTGTTGTAAATACAACTTAACCACTGATTTCTAGTTGTGTCCTCTTTTGGAAGACCAAACTAAGTTTTGCTTTCACAACGAAACACACAGCGTCTCCACAACATGGCGGCAGCGGCAACAATACTACAGCGAGAATCAAAGTTACGCCATCTTTCTTTGCGTGAACATTTGGGCGGTGTTATGCAAATCTTCCCACACAGTGACGTAGACATGTTGGGGCGTGTTTAAACGAGGTGTTTTAGGTAGGCGTGGACGAGTCTTAACTTTTATAAAGAATATCTCTTTGGGTTTGAGACTTTAGTCTTTGCAACTTTAGGGATCTTATCTATTCACGAACAGCTTGTAACACTCCAAAGAGAAAGGAAAACTTGAAATAGCATCATATGACCCCTTTAATAAGCGAGTCATTGCAATTGAACCGTATAATTTAAACGGTTAATTAAATCATATGAATGAAGCACCATCGTGTTGCTCAGAGACACAAGACAGTGCTGTGGCTGTGTTTGGAATGCTTTTTGTTGGCGAAATAGAGCAAAAACAGGCAATATGGTGTCTAAAACGTAAGTCTCTTCTTGTTTATTGAACTGATGTATTAAATCAATATCACATTTCTAATCATGGTCATTTTTGGAGAAAAAGAAAAAAAGTGTCAGATTAAGTGACGTTGACGGCCGACAAAAGGGGGCACTGATCTATTTTTGCTTAATGCTTAGAAAAATAAACCGAAACTGAGGTGAAGGAGAGTGGGCTCGTGATGGCAAGCATAAAACGTGAAGATAAAGGCGCTTGGGAGAAGCTAAAAGAAAAGAAAAAAAAGCCAATCTCACTATACAGCAGTGTTTCCCAACCTTTCTTTAGTCGCGGCACCCTTTGGAAATTTTAATAAACTTGTGGCACCCTACAAAATTAATTTTGTCACAATATTTGAATTTCTAACGTCGATTTGATCATTTGAAAAGTATAGATATTCGGTACAACAGGGAAGAACTGCAGAATATAATGTCATACAGATATTTTTAATATTATTTAAAAAATGTGTCCATCAATGGTGGCAATCAGTAGGCTAATTTCTAATGAAGAGATCAATTTATATGACAGATTTTAATGTAGGCTTTTACACATATGTAAACATTATTTAATTACCATTATCATCATCAAAGAAAAAGTGTCAGATTAAGTGGCGTTGATGGCTGACAAAAGGGGGCACTAATGCAATCTATTTTTGCTTATAATAAACCGAAACTGACGCGAAGGAGAGAGGGCTCGTGATGGCAAACTAAAGACATGAGGATAAAGGCGGTTGGGAGAAGCTAAAAGGAAAAAAGTGAACAGGTTACATCAGGTTACCTTTGCCCACCTCTCTCACTATACACAGCATGTAGCCTGTAGCACTATAGTAAAATCCCAGGACACCCCTAGAGCGTCCACTGCTATTTATCACTCCGCATTGTCTGGCATGAATATTCCATTCATTCATAAAGAGACAGCAGCGATTCTACAACGCGTTACATTTGAGAGATACTGAGTTAGAAAATAGAGTAAATGAAGTAGCCTATAAGGTGATTAGTCTGATTAACATGACACACACAGACAGACATATGAATACTCAAATTGAAGAATTCTGTTGTTTCAGGTTTCTAGATTTGTTTATCATTGTCTATCGTTGTCATATTATAAATTTTGCATTCTGCTCTTTTTACGTAGATTTCAAATATTTTAGTTCATACAATAATACATTTATTTCAATCCCCTGCTGAAAAAAAAATAGAAACCATCACATAATTTGTAATAGTTTTACTGGTTATAATGAAAATTGTATTGGTTTTAATGGAAACTGTAATGGTGCCTGTTGGCCTCTACTGGTAAATGGTCACCTTCTATTCATGGCTTTTGTTAAAGCCACTAAATCCTAATGTAATATGTCCCAAAACACACTACAGGAAACCATTATTTAATGGTTTTAATGGTTAAAAGTTGATGGTTTGTAATGTCTGTAATGGTATTTGTAGTGGAAATCATTCTGATTTCTGTGATGGTTTCTATTGTTTTTGTCAGCAGGGTCACCATGGGTTTTGTGATGTTATTTGTCATAAATGTGATAGGATTGCTGTAATATTGTGAGATAGTAGCGACTGCTTGTAGTTGTGGTGGGCCTATATATACTCCCAGTCCGTCCCGGACTTCTGTTATTGGAGAAATACCGAGGTCCGGACCTCGGGGTCCTCAGTGGTGGGTACCGCCCTGAGCGAGGCCCATGCTTCCTGATCAAGTGCGCATGCGCGTCTGAGTCGCTTTCACATTCACGCAAACCGCTCCACATGAAACCGAATTTAGACCACCTCCTTCAGGTAGTCTCGGGTTCGGTATACCGGGTCCGCATGACCTATTCACCCGGTTTTGTCATACATTTCAAGCTAATTTTGTTGTTGTTGTATGACGTTTGTTTTTGTTATAGTAATGCACTGTTACAGTCAGTTTTCTGTCAGATTATAGGCGCTCAATATCTTCACGCGCCACTCACATATTTTCAATTAAAGCACATTATGGACGCCTCTTGGTCATTTTCAGTAAACTTTAGGCGGCTGGTTTGCGAGTTTACCCTGCACGCCCTGCGCTTCTCGTCCGCCTTTATAGTTTCCACCGTGATATATATCTCTCTAGAGAGACGCGAACAACGCTCGAGCTCGACATAACATCTGTTTAGACGCAGAAGGTCCTCACAGTAACAGATATTATAGCTTTGAAGCGTTTTAACAAACTTACCGTGACATGTGAAGGCATTTGTTAGATTTAGAATCCTCCGCAATGGCGTCTCTGGAATGAATACTTTCTGTTTCACTTTAAGCAGTTCCGCTAAAAATGTGATGACCTTGTGTCACGTGCTGTTTGCTATTGCATGCTGCACTGGAGTAAACAGCCAACAGGTACCAACACAGATCGTCTGCTTGTTGTTGACACAAATATAGAAATATCATTTTTGCACCCCTCGAATAGAGAATTATCCTCATTAAAAGAGAGAGCACGAGAGAATGAAAAATAAAAGAATCAATTAAACTAGATTGTTATTGTGGACATCAAATACCCTTCTCTTAATATATATTATTTTATAACCCATGCTATATTATTATTATTATTATTGTGGGAGACATTTATCATTACACTTCTGGACAGGTCTTTAAATGTCCTTATTGCCTCTTCCAGAGCTTTCAGTATATATTCAGTGATGGAAACCGAACTTGTGCTGATTTCTCTCTGCAACTGATTAGCTTTTTTTATCCAGTAAATGAAGACAATACAGCCAGACTTTTGTTGGAGCCACATTCTGTGGATTCTCGTTTAACAGAGTGGGGAGCTACAAATGCAGGGCCACCATGCGAGTAGTGGCTAATATTCGCAGACATTTTCTTTTCACAGCTCGTTTTCCTTCAATTGAAAGTTCAGGGGTCTTCTTGACCATGACATTCAGTTCTCCCTTTGTCTTGGGAAATGTCCAATCAAACACCGTGAAGGCCTGAGCTCTGGGCTTTGGTTCATCATGAGACTTTCTCATCACCACCTGCATTTGGTGGTTATCAGTGTATTACAAAGGTACAAAACAGATTTCAGTACTTCAATAGGTTGGTATATTAACATTATATCAGTTAATGAAATTACGGTATTTATCTGTAAATTTAAGTTAAAACCGTAAAAAAAACTTTGCTACTGCATTTTTTACGGTAAAATTCTGGCAACCACAGCTGCCGTTTTTTACCGTAAATTTTACGGATTTTTTTTTACAGTGTAGCCTACAGCTGTGAACACATGTGTTGCAGTTTTCTGCTCAAACACCTGCGGGTAGGTGATCTGGCCCAGCTGGGTCTAGTAAGCTGTTTGAATCTGGAGGTTTAGTAATACACTGTTACTCTGGACTGCTGGCTTGAGTGATGATTTGGTGTCGCACAGATACTAGACAGATCCTCTCAATTCCACCAGCCCTGCCATGAAGCTGGCTTTCAGGGAAGCACTTACATCCAGGAGACTGGACTTACTAGAGAGAGTCAGAGCTACTGAACTTCAAATCTCTCAGAGGCTGTGAACGAGTGTTCAAATCTTCATTTAAGGATTTCTTATTCCACAGAGTAACACCTGAAATGAGAAATGGCTTTCAACTCTGTGTGAGGAAAGGCTGTTAGGAGTAAATGTGCAAACGTTAGTCCTCCTGTGATCTAATATTTCCCTGTGGATATTTCCAATGCCTATAGATGACTTACAATTGAATATTATTGTACAGCAGTATTTAGATCAGATCTATTTATCATGGCTACACATAATAAACACTGATAGATCTAAAGATCTAATTTAAGGATGAACAGCTGCTGCAGAATATATTCCAAAATTCCAAAATAGTATTACTGAAGAATAAATGAACACATATCTGTGTATGCAGCAGAATTAACTGCCATGATGTTAGCACTCCAGTGGAGGAGAAGATGTAAAACAAGAGCAGATGTAATATGTACTGACTCTTCTGCAGCACTATCAAGCCTTGCAAGTGGATTAAAATCGTCAAGGCAAGACATTACATATGAGATTATTGCAACTTTTTTTTAAGATTAAGTAATGCAAGCTGAATGTTTCTGTGGGCTCCTGCTCATATATGAGTGGAGGCTAATGAAATGGTTGATAAGCGAGCTGTGAAACACACAGAGATAGATGCACAAGTGCGGAACTGTGAAAGAAAGGGCAGATATCTGTATAGCATGAAGCAACAAGTAGGCAATGGGAGAAAAGTTTTTAATAACAGGAAGGACGATTCAATTACTGCTTAAATTCAAATAGGGCATTCTGTACTAAATCATTCATTGTATAAAATATGAAAACCTGAAACAAGGCAGTGTAATTATTGTGAGCAAACAAAAACAATAGAGCATGTACTAATACAATGTAAATAAATAAAAAAATGTATAAGAAAAAATAGAACTTACGGAATTAAAAAGACATCCTTGGAAGAAAAAAAAAACATTAAATTTGATAAGCCTTCTGAAAGAATCCACAGAACAACATAAAAATATAGTGTTATATTAAGATTTCTTAAAGGATTCTTAATATTAAGATTTCTTATTAGGATTATGCAGGATAATTTAAAAATGATTTATTTTTTGTTTATTTTCACCTGCCTGTGCTTCACAATTCAGTCCAGTCTGTGGCAGTACTGCACCAGAAGTTGCCATAAATAACTCTAGGAGAAGGAAGAGAAAGAGAAGAAACAATGCATGCACATAATAGTTTGCTTGTTTGTTTTTGTTTTTGCAGTCATGGTATGCAATAGCTACTGTTCAACAGTATGGGTAATATCCCCCCCAAATAAATGAATAATTTTATTCAGCATGGATGCATTAATCTGATCAAAAGTGACGGTCAAGACTTTTAAAAAGAGTTACATTTCAAGCAAATATAGATATTTTGAATTTTCAGAACACTGGACATTAGAATGTCTTCTGAAGGATCACGTGACACTGAAGACTGGAGTAATAATGCTGAAAATTCAGCTGTGTATCACAGAAATAAATTACATTTTAAAATGTATTACAAAATAAACAGGTATTTTAAATTGTAATACTATTGTACAATATTAGTCTTCTTACTGTTTTATCAAAAATGAAGACTTAAGACTGAGTATAAAAAAATAATTATTTCAAAAACACATTTTCTTTCTTTCTTTTTCACTTTGATTTTGGGGTAAATCATTTTTTTGCCAGAAAGTTGACTTTAGCTATATACAGTATTTATGTATTATAAATACATTCTATGTACTTTATATGTATGTAAGAGAGAACACAGAGAAAACATATAATTTGCATTGATATACAACAGTAGAGCGCAGGAGCAGCAGGTGCGTCCTGTGTGTGTGGAAGAAAATCTCCACGCTTCACTGCAACTCTACAGGAGAAACTTCAGCTCATCAACTTCAGAACCTGTTCTGGTTTACTGAAATTAAGAAAGGGAGTATACAGAGCTGAATTATTTATAAGCTCTGAATCAAATAAACTCTAGTCAAACTAGAAGTGTGGCCTGAAACTCAGATTTGCATTTGTGGAGGAGATTCTGTTCGTCTCAGAATAGTGCCTGTGTCTCCAGTGCTGCATGCTCAAACCACAAGAGGTTTGTTTACAAGACATAAAGATTTACAACTCAAACCACCGCAACTGTTAAGCTTTAGCATTCATTTTAACTTAATAAATACTACTTCCATCTGAATAAGGCACTGAATGATGCTCTTGACAAAAATAATGTTCTTCAGCTTCATCACAAATAAGTGCTCTAGCATCATGCTTTTGTTTAACCCCTTAACTGTCACCCCTCATTTTTTTTAAATAGGCAATAAAGTGCACTATCCAAACTTAAATTGTTTTAATTTATGAACACTTTGGAATACAGACCTAAGGTCTCTTTTTAAAGAAGAAAATCAGCAGATTATTGCAAAAGTGAAAAAAAAAAGTATCAAAAGTTATAGACGTTTAAATTTACTGTAAAGAAAATGCGCTATATACTAATTTTATATATAGTAAATATTTTACATAACAGGTTTTACTCTAAAATTGGTATAAATTAAAGCCTTTAGTCTAAATAAGTTACGTTCCAAATTTGAAGTTGATATGAAAAAAATGAGGTTCCTGTGAGATTTTATTTAGGGCGTTATACCACAAACAGCCACCGGTGCCATCAATTTTTTTATGCATTTTTCTGTCACAAATGTCTAGATTTCTCTGTAAATCTTACTTCTATGTCAAAATACCACCAAATATGGAATCCTGAGAATCCTGAGA